AAAATATGGATGAAGATAACAACTCTCTCCAGAGCTGGGTTCTTTCAGAAACTTGGCCGTTAACATATTTCATCTAGGAATCCCTCTGGGTCATCTTGTGTTAGTTGTGGCATTAGGATAGTAAATTGATTGGATGAAAACAAAATAAAACAAGGCTAACATCTGGAAGTTTAGCTGACACTAGCTTGCTGTGTGACCTGGAGTCGTTTTCCCTCTCTGATCCTCAATTTCTCTATTTCTAAAATCAGAAGCATGGCAAAGAAGTTTCACAGGGCTCGTGAAATTCACAATCCATTGGTAGTGATTACCAGGAGACTGCGTTCAGGATTCAGACGCCACTCCGGACTTTAAGAGAACAGGTCATGTGATCAATTAGTAATGTCTGCCACATGCACAGGAAGAGCAGGTTTAGGCATATATGCCACGAATTTCACATCTTTAGGGTGTGACAGACTGGACACTTTTATTTCTCATCCCCTCCATTTGTGGTCACACGGATGCAGCAGTGGCCCTTAGGGGAAGACAAGGAGGAGAGCCTGAAGCTCCATCCTAGGGCTTCTCCTAACCATGGTGAGACGTGGCATCTTAGATGCCTTTACAGAATCTCAGTCAAGCTGATTCCAGTCTCAGACTCCAGGTCTACTTCTGAGTTGCCCCAGAACTTCTTCAATCCTAGGCTTGAGCACCCATAACACCCTAAAAATTTTCCTTAGTTTCCTTCTTTCTAGTAAGAAATATTAGAAGTAGAAGCAGAGAGTCAAGGAGCAAGTTGGGATAAGTGATACCTTGAAAGGCATCTGCCTGAGTTGACACTGAATGTCGGGGCCCATTGAAACCTTAGAGACCACCTTGCCCCAGGATTTTCAAACTGTTCTGGGTGAACCTGGAGATGCTTCAAGGCATCTCGGGGGATGCCTATGTGTACAGGACTTTCAGCCACATCTCACCTTCACCTTTACATGCTTTTGTTTTTTAACTTCAGGATGATTTATTGAATAGATAATAATACATTCATGTTTCCGAAAATGCAAAAGGGTTTTTTAGCTGTTTCAGATATCAGACTTCTGTAGAAAGGAAGTCCTGGCTTGCATTAAGTTTGACCACTGATCTAAAACAACCTCCTCATTGTGCAGACGAGAGGGGCTAGGTGAGGTCCAGGGAGTAGAGGAGGCTTTTCTAAGTTCACACCGTGAGCTGGGCAACATTGCCAAGAAGACTCGGTCCTAGGACTCATGGCTTCCACATCAGCTGAGTGGCTGTCTCTGCTCCCTGAGGTACAAGTGCCAGTGTGGCCACACCAGCTGCCGTGGCGCCGCTCTGGCCTGGCTCGGCCCTCTTTCTCAGTCCTGGCTTCCTGGCGGGCCTGGCTCATGGGTTCCTTTTTAGCCTTTCGATTTGTTTTCCTCTCTTTAGGCTTGTTTACCACGAACGTGTGTTTTTGGAAGCCCTGTTTCCAAGCCAAACAATGGGGGCGAGATGCTTGTTTTACGTCAGCAGCTCGACGAAGAGGCCAGCCTGGAGGCTGGGCTGGTGTCCCCTAGACTAGGAGGAGCAATGTCTCCTTTGTTCCACCCCAACCCCCTTTCTCCACAGACAAAGAGCTGGGATTCCTGCCCTGGATTTGAGGGGGACAGAGATCCTGGGATTCTTGGATTTTAAGATGCTCTTCCAAACAACATTGCTTACTTCTTATATTCCTTCATGCAAATCACCCACGAGTCCTTCGAGATAGGTGTGTTATTCCCATTTTAGAGATGGAGAAATGAATTGAGGTCCGGACAGGGAAAGTCACTTTCTGAAGGTCCCACAACTGCTAATAGAAGAGCCAGGATTTGAACCGGCCCATTCTGCCTCCAGAGGCCTTGAGCTTACCTGTATGCTATGCTGTCTCTAAAAAGTTTATAACCACTCTGTCTAATATGGTAGCCACTAGCCACATGTAGCTATATAGATTTAAATTAATTAAAATGAAATACAATGAGGAATTCAGTTCTTCATTTGCACTAGCAACATTTCAAGCGTTTGATAACCACTCGTGGCTAGTAGCTACTACAGTAGACAGTCAGATACAGAACATTTTCATCATCTTGGAAAGTTCAGTTGGACTTCACTGCTTCATATGAACGTTTTACTCAAATCGGATTTGAGAATTACAACTCCAATTCTGTGCTTCACGTTCTTAAAAGTCTATGATGCCAAGAGGCGCAGTCTACAATTCTTTGATTCTGAGATTTCCCCCAGTTCTGACATTTCAGTGTCCAGGGAGGGAAATGAACTAGGGGGCTGGCTGTACTTTTCCGTCCTCAGAGTCTTTTCAAAGAGAGAGAAGTGACCTCAGCTTCGGGTCCTGCTGGCAGTCGAGGATGGGTTTTCAGCCATCTCCAGAGCAAATAAAGGCAAAGGAAGGGACTCGGTGTACGAAACAGGAGAAGAGGTGGCAGTGGGATGCGGGTGAGCGGTGTCTACATTTGATGACCATCAAGCCAAGGGAAATACACCTCCTGTTCGTCCTCTGGCTCAGGCTACCTCCCCTCCGTGCACCTCGGGCCAGTTCACCGCCTAACTGGGCCCCATTCACGTGAGCGCCTGGGAGGGACCGACCGCCAAGGGAAATTGTGAGCTGGAGAGCATGCCAGTGTGGAGTGGGGCTGTCTGGGTCCTCATTCGGCCCCTCCACTCGCTCCCTGAGGCTCTTGGCAGGTTTCTTCCCTCTCTGGGCCTCAAGTCTTCTTACCTGTACTACAGAGCCAGAAAGACATACCTTGAACTCCCAGCGGGATGATGGATTATGAAAACGTTTTGAAAAGGACACGCATATGCATCATCACAAACTAAAGAGATACAAAGGAAGGAGTTTTCATTTCAAGCTGGTCATTTGCATGAAGGTGTTTATATTTTCACTAGGCATGCCAGGCCTTGGTTTGATTGTCAAAGGATGTGTGCACAGCTGATAAGTTCTGAATGATGGCATTTGACCTTGTGTTCTGACCTTGCTGGGGTTACTGTTGCACTTATTAGCTTTACAGGATGGGCGCCTGGCCTCTTTGGCCAGTGGTGTTTTAGAGAAGCTCAGGGAGGGATCTCATGGCTATGCCGTGAGCATCGCTGTACATCCAAGAACAGTCCAGCTTCCCTCTCGCCCCATCATCTGGAGGGAAAGGGTTATGAGATGAGTGATGCAGCACTGGGCACTAGGAAGAACCCAAAATTTGGAAAATAACTCCCCCTCCAAGGTTTCGTGCCCTTAACACTCTCACTTTATGCATTTGTCCCCCGCTCCCATTCCAGTCTCTGAATATAATCCCTATCAGGCCCAGCCCAACTCCACGAGGAGGTATTTTGTCAGCTTGGAAGAGGCCTGAATGCTGCACGACCTCCCCTCTCTCAGCTGCAGACTCCTCATCTGCAAAGTGGGCGTAAGAGCATCCCGTGCCTGTCTGCCTACCTGCCACGTGTCAGGGGCTCCAAGAGGACAGTGTACATGTGAAGCCTTTAAAGCACAGCAAGATTTGGAATTATTTTTCTCTTCTGGCTGCAACACCGGGGATGAGGGTGGCAGAGAGGGTGAGTGAGCCACTGGGAAAGAAGTGCAAACAGTGGCAAGGCAGGACAGATGACAGAGCCACACTCACCTCTCCCTGGTCAGAGAGGAGAGCATGGTCCCTCTGCTCAGAGGAGCACAGGCTCTGGACCTGGCGGTCTTCCTGGCTCTCTAGCCTGGGCTTATTACCTTTCCAGGCCTAGCTGGGCTATTTCTCCAATAACATGACTTCTCTGTCATTGGAGCCCAGACAAGGTGACAGTTTTTGTTTTAGCTCTCAGTCTCACTTTGACCCCTCGACTTCAAATAATCCCAGACAAGTCCTTCATTGATGCTTTCTCTCCTGTTCCATTCGTCTGAAGCCACAGGCAGGAGTTGTTTTGCTTGTGTCTTCCAAATGGGGAAAGAAGAAGGGAGATTTTTCCACCTCTGGCCTGGGGAAAATAAGTCCACAACTGTGTGTGGGAGGGAAACATTCCAAAACCCGCCTGGAAAGGAAGAAAGGACTTCTCTGGGAGCTGGGGCCATGGTGAAACAATGCCAAGCTCCCAGGTCGATTCCTTTAAATTTCTGTTAGTTTTATATCCTGTACACTCCATAAAATAAGACGTGAGGTTTTGTGTCTATTTTAATCAAATAAAGGACCATTATGAAGTCTGTTCTTCTCCTGCCTGTTTCTGCTACCCAAATACTATAATCCAAGTGAAAATGTCTGAAGACAGAGGTGATAATGGGTGTCGAGACCAGCATGTGCCTGTAACGTTTCAAGGGCCGAGCCTACGATCTCAAAGTTTACCTCGTCTAACTCTCGATTAATCGAAAGAGGAACCAAGATCCGGAGAAGATGAAGGACATCACCAATTCGCCAAGATACTATTCAGGTGGAACAAGAACTCCTGGCATTTCATTCCAAGCCAAGTGTTTTTTTCCATGATCCCTCCAAGGTGCTTGGTCAGTTGAGAAGTCTTAGAAGGAAGTAGGGATGATGGACCCAATCTGTAAATTTGTGGGGACGACAGACAATAGAGGGTTGACACGGCCACTGTTCACCTTGACTAAAAGCGGCTTGTGGGCAGAGGAAGCATGTTTCTTCTGTTTGGCCATAGGAGGAGAAACAGAGCAGACCAGAAATTTGGGTGAGGGAACTTTAGATCCGTATAAGAAAGACCTTTCCAAAGCCGTTTGAAAGTGGAAGCCCATTGAGTTAGAACAAGACATCGAATGTCCCCACCACAGATCCTCTGATAGGGACGGCATTTTGGGCATAGAATCATCAGAGGAGATTCGGCTCCAAGATCTCTGTCAGCCATGAGTCGCGAGCTCAGCATCTAAAGAGTGAGCTCTTAGCAGTGACCAGGGCAGAAGAGTTTTCTAAATCACAGCTAACATCCTGTAGCTGTGACGGGGAGAGAGAATACGCAACACATGCAAGCATTTGGATCGTCTCCCTAGAGAACCTAGAGAAGCGCCGTCCCTTCTGGGTAGAATGAAGAAAAATGTGGCCTCCTTCAAGTTTCCACAGGTCGCACTCCAAGGCTATTGCTGTTCTTTGTTTCCAAATATAGATCTCATTGTCTCAAGTTGGCAAGAAGTTGCTGCCTGTTAACTTCTCCCGATACATAGCGGGTAGGAAGGAGGGGGAGGAGGAGGAAGAGAAGAGTTTGGTGGGAGGATAGAAAAAAATTTTTAGAACATCAGAGATCCGAAGAGCCCATGAACATGATCTGCTTCGGAATCGCCCAAACTTGATAAACTAGCCAATCACTTTCGCAATCACTTTTTAAAAACTTAAAATAGACGTATTGAGAAAGAAGACTTTGTATCCATAAATGGAAAAATCTGTGTACCTTTGTCGTCAATGGGAGGAAGCTATAAAAATAAATACAAAGAAGATAAAACAACTTTGTTGAATTCCAGCAGGATATAGTTTCCCGAGCAGGCTCTGAGCCAGAAGCCTGCTCTCTGTTACAAAGGGAGACAGATGAGTGTTAAAGAGGTGTTGAAGACATCTTAGCGCCAAACCAAGATGTTCTTATAAACCCAGAGTTGAAAGAGAATTGAGTAGAAGCGACTTTCTCCCGTGTCTCTCACTATCATTTAACGTGTACCATCTAAAATTATCTTACCTATCACAGGAATTCGGCATCAGAAGGAACTCTCCACTAGGAAGCCTCCCACTCATTGGAATCTCAATCTCTCTCCTCCCCACAGGGTTCCCATCACCATGAGGGCCTGGATCTTCTTTCTCCTTTGCCTGGCCGGGCGGGCCTTGGCGGCCCCTGTAAGTACCCAGAGATCATCTCTGCTCCGTCTTCCCTCCCACCACCAGCTCGGGGCCATTGAATCTGTCAGCCCTGGATGCTCAGAGCGGACAGGGACTTCTCCATCTTGAGTTATTTATCTTATTTTTTTTTTTTTAAGATTTTTTTTTTGTAAAATAAGCTCAGGATAAAAATGTCAGGATGAGGACCATTGGGTGGAGATTCCAGAGAAGAGAGATTTCCATGTAATGGGACAATGATTATTTTTAGCAGTCAGAGCTTCCCAGAAACAGACTAGGATTGCTGTAGAAGGAGGGAACCACTATGGTATATGAAGATTTCCAGCAGTTGCTGGTGGGGGTGATGTCGGGCGAGAGAGCGAAGCCACAGAGAGAGAAATGGGTTAGTTTCTGAATCGGTGAGAGCTATTTGGTTGCAAGCAACAGACTCCAATAAGACTAACTTAGGGGAGGCTACAGATGTAGGGGTAGATTATAAAATCAAAGGCCTTGGGGAAGACTGGAAGAAGGCATTTCCAGGATCTGGGAGGAAGAACTATGGACAGTATCAGAGAGGTTGCCATCTGAATTACACTCAGAGGGTCAATGCTGGTTACCTCAAGCTAAACTGGAAACCTCTACCAGAAGAGGGAGGAAGAAATGTAGGACGGACAGAAAAAAAGAAAACAGTTTCCTTCAATCTGGGATTCCCTCACCCTCTCTTCACTAGGAGCTGTGAGAGATGGTAGTCTCTGGCAATGCTGATCAGGCAGGTAGATTTTGGCAAAAGATCTGACAAGGTTAACATTACTTTTAGAAGCAGTCCCAGGCAGCCAGTGGCCTCAGAGTTTGTTATCTTGCTTCTTTCTACTCCAAGTCGACATGGCAAGAAGAACTGCCAAATAAAATAATAATAGTAATAATAATAATAATAATAATAACAATATCATTACACTTGTGAGGAAGAGAATGACATCTGCTCAAACTCACAGTGTTCATTCCCTCTGGGTCTGTTTTCCCACCTATGAAATGAGAGGAGGTGGCCTGCATCAGCGGTTTTCAGACTTGACAGGTGTCAAAGCAATGGAAATGTGTTCCGAGCTAAAGCTCAGATAGATGCTTCAGGTGTAAAATATACAAACGCGGAGGTGCTCTGGTGTCCCATGGGGTCCCATGTTTGACTTCTCCTTTGCTTTCCTCACCTCGCGCATGGCAGTGCCTGAGCACAGCCTTGGGAACATCCAATGAGCTGCTCTCCTAGCTCCCCAGCTTTAGAGTTCCAGGCCAGAGGCACTTCAGCCCTTGACTCTCTGAACTCGATTTCTTCTTCCCGACAGCAGCAGGAAGCCCTGCCTGATGAGACGGAGGTAGTGGAGGAAACGGTGGCTGAGGTATCTGAGGTAGGTGGGTGGTGACCCCAGGCTCCCGGCCCTTCTCTGACTACATCCAGTACCTGAGAAAACCAGGCAGGTTCTGTGGGTCTCACGCTGGAACGGGACATTCGTCCCTTTCCCACATGCACACGGCACAGACGTAAATCCTATATATCCTCCAATCTCGACGCACTTCTGAATGCTTCCCAAGCCTTCAATGGAAACCTATACTTGGAAGTTATCTAATTTTGCAAATTTTTAGTTTTTTAGCTGTGGGACCATTTTTCTTAGATGACCACTCAAGTCTTCCCATACGTCGAGCAGATAAAAGGGGAGCCGCCCTGTGTGTCTGGCAGGGGCAGAGGGCTCGGCACGCCCCCTCCTGCCCTAACAGCCCCAGCGGCGTCTGAGGCATCTCATTAGACTCCAGGGAACTACGAGCACAGTTGGTCGATAAGATAAAATCTAAATCTGGGCCTGGCATCTGTGCTCTCTGTGACCTGGGCCCAGCACATCTTTCCAGTTCGTAGCCACTGTCCCCTGTGGCTACCTAAAGCTCTGGGGCATCCCCTCCAGCCCGCACTGCCTTCTTCCAGGTCTGGGATGGGGGGAGGCCATCTGACTCATTCTTCTTCCTTTACCCCAGGTAACTGTGGGAGCCAACCCTGTCCAGGTGGAAGTAGGAGAATTTGATGAAGGTGCTGAGGAAGCTGAAGAGGAGGTGGTAGCTGAAAGTAGGTCCCTTCCCCATGTCTTGTCACATCCAGTCTTTAGCCTCTGCTACCTGGGCCTGGGGTATGGGGACAGCCTACATGAGGTTCCTTCCCAAGGAAATGCAAGGTGGGGTTCTCCGAGCAGGGTGGGCTCTGGAGGAGAAATGGCTTTGACTTAAAGGTTAGAAATATTCTCTGAAATCTGAAAAAGACCTATTTACAGCCAGGCTGTCCATGCTGTGAGCAGCAGGAAAGGAAGCTCCTCAGCTGAAAGTGACCTCTCCCCTCACAGTGCTTTGCCTTGATTCCAAAGTTGGAATCTCAGTGAGGTCACCAGTTATATGAGCTCCGCGATGGCCACCATCTTAGCCCCAGCCCCACACAGGAGCAGACGTGAGAGTACCTCAAAAGCTTTCACACTCGTTAGCTTACTTGATTTCACACAGTCACGAGGAAATAAGACCTGGAATTCTGACAGAAATCGTATAATATTACCCATGGAGTTAGCACCAGAGGAAAGGAAATGACCTAGGGCCTCTGGCTTCAGCCCACCATGCTGGCACCTCCACCCCATATCATAACTCTAAGGGTTAATAGCATGGACTTTACAGGCAAAACAACCAAGGTTTGCATCTAGACTTGTTGGCCACTATGCCAGCACCCTCAGACAGCTCATTTAGCTTTCCTGAGCCTCAACTTCCTCATTTCTTAACGTGAGAATGATGAAAATGGCAGACCCTCGCCCCAGGGCTGTGGGAGGATTGTAAGATAAGGCATAAAGGCACTTGGCCCAGTGCCTCGCAGAGCAGGCATCTAATCAAAGAGAACAAAAATACCCCCAAGTCAAGCATCAGGAGGAAAAGGCTAGATTGAGCTCGCATCCTGAGGGCACAGTTTTTGTTGGAGCAGAGGGCAGTCTACTGAATCATGGTCCTTCCCCCTCCACATCCACCTCATCCGGTGTTTACCAGACAAGCTGGGCCCCATTGTCCACTGTGGGCCTGGGGCTTTTCTCCCTTTTCTTCTGTAGCCTTTCAAGTCTGTTTTGCAGGGCCTCATAGCTCCCTGGCTCCGTGAGGAGAGATGATTTTCCCACTCATTCTAGAAAGTCTCTTCTAGAATCCAAAAATGCCTCTCTACAATTGATCAACTGAGAGCTGAGAACACACGGTTGCTTCAATCTTTGGGGGAGCCCTATATCATCCAGTATGCCTGGGTCCCAGACTGAGCCTACAGTTTCCCCAAAATGTCTTTGACCATAACCTCAGACTGAATCTCTAATTCCCAGACTGAGCCAGTTGCTTCCCTAAATGCCGATTGCTGGGCTCAGCAGAAAGAAAGGGAGGACTCGGGGCCGCCCAAAGCCCAGAGTGGGGGCCACAGCCGAGGACTTCTGCCCAAGGATCAGTGTGGATTGGGTTGGGGTGAGCGCGCTAGCCCAGATGATGTTAACTACATGCCCTTGCACTCTGCCAGACCCCTGCCAGAACCACCACTGCAAACATGGCAAGGTGTGTGAGCTGGATGAGAACAACACCCCCATGTGCGTATGCCAGGACCCTACCAGCTGCCCTGCCCCCATTGGCGAGTTTGAGAAGGTGAGCACTGACGAACAGGGGCGGGGGCTGGGGGCCTGGGCCCTTCCCAACACAGAGTGTCTGCGCAGAAAACTGTTGGCTTAGTGATTCTACAGAGCAGCTCTAATCTCAGAGGTCCCCTCACTAGACCTGGTCACAGCACAAAAGTGGAGGTGAGTCAGAGGTGAGGCTCTGCCTGTCACTGGATCTCTCCAGCAACCAGCAAGAGCAGTACCACATCCTGAGCTCTACGCCAGACTCAGAAGAGAATACAAACATCAGGCCAACTGAGATAGGGGATTTCTTGACATGGGACCAACTTAGCAAAGCTTTAGGTCCAAAAATGTGGGTTCTGAGTCAGTCTGAAGGTTGACTTCAAACGCCATCCCTACCACTTGTTCACTGTGGCACCTTGGCTAAGTTGCTGAACCTCTCCAAGTCTCAGTTTTCTCATCTCCAAAGAGGGACTAGAAATAGTCCTTATCTCACACAGCTGTTGTAGGGCTTTGTCAGATAATGCATGGTACTTAGTAAGTACCCAATATGTGCTATTTAAAAAAAAATCTTTCGAACTTGTCCATTCTTCCCCCAATAGGACTCATTTATCCAACCATCCATCCATCCAACCAAGTAAATATTTACTGAGTGCCCACTCATGCCAACCATTATGCTAGCAGTGACCTAGCTTAGGATAGCAAATCTAGTACTGGTATTAATCCCACAACCTCCCATGTGGGCTCTCCATCTTCACTCTCTCCCTAATACAACTTCTCCTCTGTCCTACAAATTTTAGCATCCTTTTCAACTCTTCCCTCCTCCTCAACCCCCAACCCACTGGTCAGCAATGTCCATCAATTCTCCCTCTGCGGTGATGTATAAGTAATACTAAGTACATGTATGTACAGGAGGTCCGACACGAGGCTCCCCCTCTCCTAATGAAGCTAATTACTGCCACTGCCCTCGTTCAGCCACTGGCATCTCTGCTTGGCTATCCCCATGTGCAGAGATTTATTAGGAGGACGCACGTGACCCAGCAAACAGTTGGACTCACAGCCAAGATTTGTTACAGTGATGTATAAAGGATACACAGCAGGATCATAAGGGACAAGACACAGGCAAAGTCTGGAGGAATCCACGCGTAGGATTGCTTACTCTTTCTCTACACCCACAAGAGGTAT